GCTTTCTCCCTCGTCTTCTAGGACCACCCTGTTAGAGATTTCTGAGCTCCTTCCCTGCAATCGGAACTGCCTGTTCTCATGAATCTCTTGCGTCCAACTTYGGACCGTCGGCAGCAACTCCGGCCAAATACAGATTTCAAATASCGACTCCCCCACAACAACCTCCAATTTTTCAAGAATCTTCCCAGACCTTTTCACCTTCATTCGAACCCACTCACAGGTTGAAAGCTCCTCAGGGGAGTCATCGGTTTCCATGAAACCACCGCAAGCATCCCCTATGTTCTTGATCACACTCGGGCACCACAGTATCATAGGAAGACCATACACTCTCACCCAGATGGTTTTTGAACGGTCTGAATCTTCGCTTGATTCCAGATAGAAGCAGCCAGCGCTTGCCCCCCACCAGTCCAGAAAGAGATGATTTCTCCCCATTTGCCATGGACCCTGCTACGTGAAGTGGGTTCACTATCGTGAAGATGAAAAGGAAAACCATCGGATAGTTGATTTCAGGCGAGAGTACTAGATGAAACAGGTGTGGCTATGAAAATAGTAGTGCCTGCTGGATCTAGATTGACAGCGGTAGATGTTGAGGATGATGTAGAGAGAGATAGAGGGAGAGAAGAGAAGTGAAAGAAGAGAGAGAGGGAAGAGAATGAGAGAAAGAGTTTGGGGAGGTCACTGCTGCTGCAACTCTATTTGTGAGAGTTGAAGTTTTACAATCATGGAAGAAAAGTATACCAGTTTGTGAGAGTTGAAGTTTCATCTTGGCCTTAACTCTTTCAGCTGGAGTCTGCAAACAATGTCATGTTTTACAATCAAAGACAACAAAAGTAATATTGGTGGAAAATGGAAATAGAATCAAAACGAATGAATAAACAAATAAAATAAAATGGCAAAAAGAGAAAATAGTAAACCCAAAAAGTAAACCATGACATTTTGTAATTTACCAGAATCCTAGTTGATTTTGCCACCTAGCAGTGAATCACCTACAAGGAAGCAATATCTAATACTAGCACACAGAAAGACAGCTCAGTCCCTTGCAAGGTAAGAAACTGCAGTTCCCAGCCCACCTTTATTTTATACCATGAACTGCTCGTTTTTAGATCCAACAACACTAACACTACCACACTTAAAAATAGCCAAAACAGTACAATGGAGGCACCTGGACAATCATTAGAAAAGAAAATCTAAAGAGTAAAGAAAGAACATGCATAGACAGGGGTCCATTTGGGAGAACTTGACTTAGGCAGCATATGGAAGTGGTTCAGCATCTGCTCAATATACAGAAGATTGTGTAGGATACTTATCATCAATGACGAAAAGCAGGCATCCAGGAAGCTAGGGTCGACTTCCATGTTTCCATTAAACATTGTCCATGAAGCCAGAAAACAGCTCCAGGATAGACCGCTCAAACATTTA